TTATCATCTTGAAAGATAATACACAAGTTTTAAAAAGTAGACAAGAAGATGCAAATTTTCTTAATGATCAGGAAGGATTGCATGTTCAAAAAATGTTGCGCGAAAAAAATTTTGCAAAATAGAAAGTGAAGTAAGAAAAAAATTTAAAGGTTATACGAGTCCATTAGAAAAAAAACAAAGGTTGGTTAGTAAAAAATTTGAGGAGACAATAAAATGTTTAGATACTTGTGATAATGGAGATTATAAGATAGACAGTATCTCCAGCCTTTTAGAAAATTTAAAAAGTATATTATTCCTATTTTAACTCATTACCGGTAAAGTAATTACATAAATTAGTACTTTAATTCACTAAAACAAAAAAGTCAGCAAGTTACACAACAATTAAAGATTTTTTTGACCTGAAAACTGATTTTTCTTTAATTTGTTAAAAATTACATTACTTTAGACAGAATGGCTGAAAACCAGTTCATCAAAGTTGAACTTATTGTGTGTATATATTGCTATATTTTATATACTTATTTCCAAATTATAAAAAATTTTAAAAAAATTTGTCACTGGTCTTTTTGTTCTACATTACAGTGCTAAACATGCTTCTAATTCTAGTCAAGACCTCATTGAAACTTTTAGAAACAAAAGTAGACGGAGAAGTAAACTTAATGGTTGTAGTTTATCATTGTTTAAAATTTAAAACAACTGATAAAAAATCTTGGATAAAAACCATTTTTTTAAATAAAAAATATACAATTACAAAAATGTTTTATATTTAAAGTACATAAGTAAAAAAAATTTAAAAGCGCCATCTCCCCCTCCCCTTTTCCCCCAACCTCTCAAATATACACATGATTGCAATGGTTAAGATCAACTCTTCCCATCCTTTTTACCAAAAAACAAAACGTAATATAAAAGTGGATAGATCAAGCTCCAAAAATAACTCTCATGGTATTTTTGAAATTTTGTTAAGTGACTCTGCCCCTACTATAAATGCAAAAATTTGAATTTTTCACAGCTGGGACCAAATTTTCATCTGCATTGGTGGGGGAGTTTTTTTTCGATTTGGAAAAAAGTATTATTATTTTAAGTTAATACAAGTAAAAGTTATTCGTTTGCCGCTATGCCATTTCCGAAAAAATGAAATGTGCTTTTTAGTCATACCCCTAATATACATACATACATATATATATATATATATATATATATATATATATATATATATATATATATATATATATATATATATATATATACATACATATATATATATATATATATATATATATATATATATATATATATATATATATATATATATATATATATATATATATATATACAGTTATGACCATTGAAATCCGACCACTGCTGAATATAAAGAAAAACAGTCTATGCACGCGAATAATCAAAGTAGCAAGCAATGTACAATATTTTTAACCAAAAAACATTTTTATTATATTAGAAAAAATCTATTTGTATACTCCAAATGCTTTCTTAGTATTCTTAGTACAACAAACTCAATTTTGTGAATTTATGGATAATTTGAATAATAAATGCTCTGTAATAAAACAAAAACAAATATACGTATGATTTTAAATGCAAAATATATGTAGTGGAGGCCTTTTTTTTTTTAATTCAGCCAACTTGGTTTATATTAGACCCTCCCTCTAGTCACAGAAATCAGCAATTATAGACATTTTTTTTACAAAAATGAGCCTTGAGGGAGGGTCTATATATATATATATATATATATATATATATATATATATATATATATATATATATATATATATATATATATATATATATAAACACATACACTATATACAATTTACTAAATAATGGAATATTTTTGATTTATAAGCAGATTTGTTTTCTCATAACTGTTTGCTAGAGGGTTTACTGTATGAATAATATGGTTTCACTTTGTTTGTAAAATGTTATTTAAATGTGAAAATCACAAGATCAAGAATTTATTCAATGAACATTCACTTGTTTTTCAACACCTTTTAAGTTAGATTAACCATATTAGTTAGTGAATTCTTCTTTGTTTTTTAAATTAAAAGTTCCTAATTTGCATTTGAAATATGATTAACATAGTCTTAAGTCTTCAGAACAATTCATTGTATATTAAAAATTACATTGTGTATTATTACCCCCTCATTTTTCATTTCCCATTCTGTTTATTACAAACACCTCTTTGATATTTAGAACCTGAAATTATTTCAATAAAACAAATTTAAAATTAAAAACATTTTTTCATCAAATTCAATTTTTTATTCAAATGTATATTTTAATCACTTTGTAAACAAAATTTAAGAACTAGATATTATTTAACAACTAAATCAGGGAAAAGTTACACGACCAGTAACCATGTTACTGGTCATGTAACTTTAAAAATTTAAGTTACATTGAAATTTAAGTTACGCGACCAGTAACCATGTTACTGGTCATGTAACTTTAAAAATTTAAGTTACATTGATATTTAAGTTACACGACCAGTAACCATGTTACTGGTCATGTAACTTTAAAAATTTAAGTTACATTGAAATTTAAGTTACACGACCAGTAACCATGTTACTGGTCATGTAACTTAGGGCAACATATTACTGGTCATGTAACCTAGTGCAACCTGTTACTGCTCATGTAACCTTGTGCAACCTGCATGTGGAAACATGAATAAAACTTAAAAAAAAAAATCTTTCTTTTCAAAAAAAAGGATTGTGAAAAATATAAATAAACTATTATTTTAAATTTCCATATTTAAATCTCTTGCATTATTGACGAGCACAGGTGATTTACTAGCTGTTTGAAGACAAGCACCTAGAGGAATGATCAAAGTACAAAACCTTAAAAAAAAGTTCTTCCTCGATTTGAAAACCACAACCTGCAATGCCTTCATTATAACACTCTAATAAGTCATAAAAACCACTTCTTTTCACATCTTTTGTTATAAAATTATCAGAGCATCTTCTACTATAATAATCAGATAAAAAAGTGATAAACTTACTGGTATAAATTCCAACAATTTAATTATAAATATTATGCTGTTTAAAATCAGACCAAGTTGAGGCTTGTGCTAAAAGAGGTTTTGGTGGTTCAATAAAAACTTCAGCACAATCAAATATCTTACAACACTTGTTATACCCTACATTCTTAAATTCTTTAATCAAATTTTCTCTGATTGGAAGCCATACAATAAGACCACTAATACACTGCCTAAAGTTTAATTTTAGTGTTAGAAAAAGTAGGAGAAATTCTGAATTGTTCTGCAATGTCTTTGTTAAGATCTCCAAGGCAAAGCTGCATAAATATTAAAAAAAAAATTCATCATGAACTGGAAAAGGTATAATAAGTGAGAAGATAGCATTAAATAAAGCTATTGCATCCCTGAATTAAAGTTCATGTTTCTGTCTGTTTTTATTTTATTAAATAAAAAAAACATTTCTTAATTTGTTTTACTTAATTTCTTAGTTTGTTTTACTTGTTTTTGATTTAATTGCTTCAAGGATATATTTAAGGAGTTTATTATTTTAACAAGAGAATAACCAATTAAAGAAGTTTATGCATTAGATCCTTTGCACATATTTAACAATGAATGTCTAACATATGAATGTTCATAGCTTGGTGGTGGTAAATAAATTGTATCATCATTATTAGCATTATATAACTCACTGATACATAAGTCTGATTTTACAGTGGTATTACCAAGCTCATTGATTTTATCTTCAGTCGTATAATTATTCATTTTATTATTGTCTGTGCTTTTGAAAAGTTTTATTTTAAAAAACTTCTTCTTGGTTTTATATCAGTACAATTATATCCCATATGTAAATTAGGATCTGGATTGGCAATCTAGTAGTTTTAAAATTATTTATACATGGTTTAGTTACCATACCAATGTTCAAAACCTCAAAAACGTCCTAATAAAAAATCAGTACCCAATGAAACTTATTGATAAATGTAGAAACAACAATTTAAATAAAAAACTATGTACACATGAATCAACAATAACAAATCCCTTATTTAAAAATATTTTAGGTTGCCATATATAGGTGATTGTTATAGATAAGTATATTTGGGGCATCTGTACCATAATTGATACAAATTCCCTTTTATTTAAATATACTAAATGTTCCTTTATAAATTCAACAGAAGCATACCCATGATTAAAAAATGCAGGTGGAATATATTAAACTAGAGTAACCAAGTTAAAAAAATTTTTATCTAAAGATTTTTAAAATATAAGAAAAAAAAGAAGTAAACAAAAATTTACAGCCAAACTTCCAAATGACAAGCACCAGTACGGGGGGTAATACTGCACAAATTTTTTTCCTAGAATAGCCCCTGTATATACATAACAACAACAAAAATGCAATACAGTGTTAGCTTAGATGACGTTAAAGTTGCAGATAACACATTTGTTTTCGTGGCGACATTTTGATTTTAATTCATTTCGTTTATTCAATAGTTTCAAAGATGATGTAATGATATGATATTTTTCCATTAAACAAAGGTTACATGACTTTCTTCCAGGTATAAAAGGTTAGGCCCTATCAATAATTTTCCACGTAAGAATAGGATTTGAAAATCCCTTTTTTTTCATTTCTCAGATACAAAGATAGACACATTAATTTTATAAAAAATTTGTTTAATTTTAGATTGGTAAAATATTTTAAAATGTTTAATCATGATAGTTATGAGCTAAATTAACAAATAAGTCTATGCCTAAATTTGTAATCCCAAAACAAAAAAGTGAACCCCCCTATTTTTTATTTATTTTAAGTGCTCCAAAAAGTCCCACACCTCACACCTCCTTGTTTACACGTTATAAAACTTGCAGAGAGATGGCATTGACCACAAGGACTTATCACAGAGCACCGCAGAAGACCTTCGAGCACCTAAAACTTAAAAAAAAAACTTTTTGACATAATTAATAGACAGCCACTAAATTATAAAAATGTTTTTATATGTTGTCTCCTAAAGTTTTTATTTTTTAAATCAATTTTCTCAAAACTCAAAAATGTGGAGATTGAACCAGAACATGGAAAAGTTAGTAAAATTTTACTGGAAAACATCAACAATAAAGTGAGACTATGGGCGTAACTATGGGAAGTTTCGATGGGGCTGAAGTATTTGAGTTAGTCGGCCTTTTTATTTTACACACTTCAAGTCAAGTCTATGGGTTGCAAACCATTGAATAATTTTCTAAATTTAATTGAAAAGCATTTTCCAAAAACGCTTAAATTTCGCAAAATTTTTAATAGGAATAATTTAAAAGTCAGTTATAGGTGTGTCCCAAACATTACTAGTATTATCAATTCACACAATAAAAAAGTATTATTTAATGTTTCCAACACAATTGTTCCAACATGAAACTGCCGGCAACCTTCACAATGTCTTTTGCAAGGTATGCTCAGTAAAAATATAATTTACATTTGCAATGTAAAAGCATCACTACAGGATAGTGGTTTAAATTATATTGGTTTAACGGAGCACACCTTTAAAGATCGCTGGTATAAACATAAAAACTCCTTTCAATATGAAAGTGAAGCTAATACCACAGAACTTTTTAAATATATCTGGGAAATAAAAAAAAGGGATTTTCAAATCCTATTTTTACGTGAAAAATTATTGATAGGGCGGAACCTTTTAAACCTGGAAGAAAGTCATGTAACCTTTGTTTAATGGGAAAATATCATATCATTACCTCATCTTTGAAACTATTGAATAAACAAAATGAATTAATATCGAAATGTCACCATGAAAACAAATTTGTTATCTGCTGTATATAATTTTTGTTGTTTATAACGTCTGATGATCGCATAAAGCGTGAAACTTTGAGTAATGTTACAAATTTAATTGTACTTAATTATTATTCAAATATAATATATATTTGCTCTACTTTTTTATTGAGCACTGTCTACCAAATAATTATTTTTATTACTGGTATATATATATATATATATATATATATATATATATATACATATATATATATATATATATATATATATATATATATATATATATATATATATATATATATATATATATATATATATATATATATATATATATATATATATTTGCAATTAAGACTTACTTCATTAATTGAAGTTAATGTTTCAGTGATGTCAGCTTTTAAACCGCTTTCTAACATATCTTTAATACATCTTGCATCAGATTTACACCATGCTACTATATCTAAACAAATTTAAATACAATGTTTAAAACATTTACTTTTAGGCTTAAAAAGTCAAGCAAATAAAACACAAGTGACTTTATTACAAGCAAATAAATAAATAACATTTTTTTATTTATATTCAAAAGTAACTTTTTAACTTTTAATTTTTCAAGCTAAAATATTATATATTTATCATTTAATGTATATTCAATTTTATTACCACAAGCTTTATTCATTTTATGTTTTTCGTATTTATTTAATAGTTATTGCACATATTTGCAGTTAAAGTAACAGAATAAGTTCATCGTTACTATAGCAGTGAATTTCTTATATCAATAATGAGTTGTTGCTTACTTAGAAAGATTATAAAGATTTTAATAAAGTTTAAGGGTGATATATATTTTAAGCATAGGTTTAATTTAAACTTGTTGTAAAGAAAATGATAAAACATTCAAGTCACGCTTGCCCCCTAAACAATTACAAAATAAGTAAAAAACCCTGTATAAAAAAAATATTTTTTATTTATTCATTTTTTCTAATCAAGGTGTTAAAGGATCATTGGAGGAGGACTTTATTGCAACTGCTTTTGGAGTGAAGGATTTTTTTGCAACTATTTTTCAAACCTTCATTTCAATTGAGAGACAGTTCTCATAAAAACTTGTCAAACATGACTGCTGTGCAGAGAAAAATGTCTGTAATATAAATTTTCACTATTTTTAGAAAATTCTAAAGCCCTCATGAAACACCACAAAAAAAAAAAAAAAAAAATTAGATTGATATATCTCAAAACTGTATTAAAATATACCAGGGCAATGATTTTCTGTACAAACTATTTCTTCACGAGAATTACCAGCACATTCCATACCACCATTCTGAGGTGCAGGATTAGAACAAAAACGATATCTTTTTTGGCTGCCTTCAAAACAACTCTTGGTCCAATACTTTGTATAGGACCAACTGCTCCATTCACCGTTAATGGGATTAAGTTCTAAACAGAAATATTTTTAATTTAGTTCACATAATAAGTCTCACATGAATATTTTGGTCATCATTTAAAAGTTTGAAAAAAGAATAATCTACTTGTACTACAGTTGTCAGTTAAGTTGAAAAAATTCTTGCAAACACAAGTGAGATCTGATGCGCAAAACTAGATAATAAATGCAATTTTAAGCATTCAATTTAAAATGTAATAAAATGCAAGTATCAAAACAACAATCAAAGTGTACCCCATTTCCTGAACATTCCTTTCCGTCTGTTTCTAGACATGGCTTGTAAAAAATTTCAATGGCTGCATTGAAATTGCATTCTTTATTTCTGCAAACCTAAAATTTTGCAATGAATAGAAATTACCTTAAAAACCAAAAAATTCTATCAGAATAAAACATTGAAAAAAAATTAAAAATTGTTTGGCATACTCACAACTTTCCCGAAACAAATAACTTAAAAATTTAAAGTTAGCTTTTTAATTTTTATAACTTAAGTAGTATTAACTTTCAATGGAACTGTTTATGCAAACAAAAATACAAAAATAACAAAAAGAGTGAGTCATATCATATTGAAATAAAAATCAAGATATTAGATATGGTGTTTAATTTTATTTTTTAAGTTTTTTTAAGTTTAATTCTTAACTAGTTTTACAAGTAAATAAATAGTAAAATAGAAGTTAAACACTGATGCAAACATAAAGAACTAAAAAATGCAACAAAAGTTGAAATGTATAAACATATTTTTTAACATTTAGTACTTCTAAACCTGCTTTACCAATGACATTCTCCTCAAATTAAATCTTCAACAACATAAATTCTCCACTCATGGATCAATATGTTACAATTAAATAAAGACTAAGTAATGTAAACAATCTAAATTCAAAACAAAATTAAACTAAAAATCTAACAAATTAAGCTAAAACAATTTGCAAGTGTTGGAGATAAACATTTAAAATCTACTTAATCTGACTAAAATGTTGACATCTAGAACAATGCTAGAGAAAGTATTTAGCATTTGTGATTGAAACTGCCAAACATGGTCTCAGATTAATTACTCTTCATTTCCAATATAAATAGATGACGAGAGTATGCGCAGTATTATTACATCATAGAAAGAAAATGCCATAATGTCTAGCTTGTCTAGAGATGTCACAACCTCAAAATTACAACTCCCTGAGTTTACATTTATCTTTTTGGGAGGCTAGCTTCTAGGTGATAATATTTTTAAAGATCTAGAAGCTGTCCACTGTGCACAAAGAATATGTCAAATAACTTTAAAAAAAATATGGTTATTTGGGATCTATACTATTTACTAAAACCGGGCTCAACTGGATCAAAAAACTTTCATGGTGGACCTAATTGTGAACAAATCTGAAGTCATCTGAAAGAGTTATGCCTTTTAGTGACTGCTGGTGATGTCAAGTTTGGATTTAAGAGCTTGTCCTCTGTTAAAGCTCCAAAAAACAATCATAATTTGATATCAAAATATCTGATTGAAAGGTTGCAACATTAACATTTAGCATTAATTTTTTATCATCATTTCTAATAATTGCCAGAAGTTCTTGATGGTTTTAGATTTTTATATGATCATGTTTCTCATGAAAAGAAGAATTTGATTAATGCATTTCTTAGAAGTAAAAAAATGATAAAGAATTTTAAAAATGATTTCATCGTGAACAAATACAAATAAAACTGCACAACTTTGTAAAATGACCACAATGAATTTTTCCAAAGTGAAGAATACTTGAATTAAATACCTTTTCTGAGTCAAGAAACACACCACATGCAAAAAGTTTATTGAGTATAGAGTTTTTATAATGAATTTGAATTTATTCAGAAATTAGAAACCCCTATGCATTTTTCCGCGTTCATTAATTCCATGAGCAAATTTTTGGACCAACTTACTACTTCATCTATGTCATTTTGTAATGTTACAGCATCTGCATCCTTGCTCTTTATTAGGCCTAAAATCTTGCTATTATCAGCATATATCTTAATTTGATGTGCTATATTGTCTATATATAGTATAAATAATAGAGGTCCAAGAACTGAATCCTGTGGAACTGCACTTGCAACTTTCTTCAAACCTGATTGTCGCTAGCCAATTAGTTATCCACTTAAATAAAGTTCTACATATGCTGTAAGCATTAAGCTTATGCAAGAGCTGTTTGTGTGATACTTTGTCAAATACCTTTGAAAAGTCAGTATAGATAACATCTATGGCATGACCGAGGGACATCTCATTTATTAAAATGTCTTTTGCTTATAATAAATTAGCGCCACAACCTCGCTTTGGAAAAAATACCATGCTGATCTTTGTTGATGCTATTTTTGATGCAATGTTTCATTATGATATCGTGGATGAATCTTTCCATAATAGTGAAATGACTTAGGCTGAACAAAGAAAAAAAGCCCTTTTTCAAAAGAATTATTTAAAATGGTACAGCTTGGAAATAACATAACAAATTAGTTTGAGAAGATGTGCGCTGACACATGTGTTACGCCTACTCAAACTTTTATCATTTTTTTAGGCTATTTTTTATTAAACTAGAAATTCATTTTCAGTTACTGGATTAAGAAAGTAGTAAAATTAAAAATCAGAGAAATATCATTTAAAATTTAAAAGAAATAACTTTATTTAAGAATGAACGTTTCATAATGTTTCATAGTAGTTGTTGAATAACAACATAAGGGTGAATATGTTAGCAACATAAGGATTGAATATGTTTTCTTGAAAGAGACTTCTTTTTCTTGGAAGAGACTAGAGGTAACTTCTTTTACTTGGAGGAGACTTTAGATCACTTCTTTTTACTTAGTTTTATGTTCTTTTTTTATAACAACTTTTTTTAATTAGCACCATAAAAGTTGAATTTGTTAACAACATAAGAGTGAATATATTAGCAACATTAAGGTGCATTGTTTTTTCCTGTTTGTATCAAATTTTTAATTTAAGTATAATCATTAGATTTGAGAATGTAAGATTAAATTAGTTAGGAGATGTTAATATTTTTTTTTTCTTACAATGCTCTTTTTGCATTGCTGAGGTTAAAAAGAAATTGATGTAGTATGACTTTTTTAAATTGCTTCATTCATTAATATTAGAGATGTGCCGGATACATGGTTCAAACCTGGGAACTCGGTAATTCGGTGGTTTTACCAGGAACCCGGAATCAGCCATTTTGCTGATCTACAACGGTACAATACATATAGAATATACAATAATAAACAAGCAGTTGCTTCTTTTTATTGCTAAGATTGCGAGAGAAAGATACATTTTTTGCAATTTTAATTGTGCTAAATGAATGAAATTTTATATATTTTGCGTAGGTCGTTTTTAAAAATGGTTTTTGCTAAATGATCGTTTACAATAAATAAAAATATATAAAAATAGACACTGTTTTAAAAGTGGGGCGCACACAACCTCATTTCGAAAAAAATTCCTCAATTTCTTATAAAAATAGTCAATTTCTTTAAAAAAAAGAAAGGTCTAAGCGAAAAAAAGGAGGGAAGAGACGTGCCCCCTCAAAAACGAGAGGGGGCACAGTCCCTCTTGTTTCTGAGGCGAGCAATCTGTGCCACAGCTGCTAAAAACAAAGAAATATTGCATAGTTTAAGGGGGTTTAAATTATTTTATAGCTGTTTTTAAAAATCTAAATTCTGCTCAAATGAAGTTTTTAATCAAATATTGTTGGAAAAATTATTTAATCGTCTACTTTTTAATTATTTCGAACGCTGATGTTTTTTATTTGTCACAAACAAAAAATTAAAAAAGAAATTAAAATGAAATAAAAAAAAGCAAAAAAGTGTTGTCTAAATTAATTTTTATTTGCTAAATTTTTTTTATTCTTATTTTTTTAATGGACTCGGTGCAGGGTAGCCAGTCTCAGACCCAGTTTTTACTACCGGGTACCCAGAATTGGGAACCCTGCATATACTGGTTCCGACACAACTCTAATTAATATGCAGTTTAAACTTATTGAACAGTTGACTTTTTGGGTTATTATTTTTAAATTTTTTATACTTTTTAAAGAGTTTGTTTTAAATAGTATTTGACTTCAGAACTCTATTTATGATCCAGGGTTTGATTTCAGTTTAATTTGGTTGACAGTTAGAGTTTTGTATTGGGCATGACAATCAAGAATTACATAAAATGTTTTAAAAAAAAGGTTCATAGATTAACTGACATTATCAACATTTTTAATATGAAGGTCTCAGTTATTATTTGAAATCTTCTGTAAAAACACATTATCATTGAAATTTTTTAAGGATCATTTAGTAATTATAAATTTTGTTCTTTTTGAGAGATGTAATCCAAATGGTAAAATCATAACAAATTACCAAATAGTTTTATCTAACTTCATGCAAACTGAAAAAAAAAGAGGCAACATGTTTTTTAATGAAAAATGTTTGACTGCTATAATAATGACAAATTTAAATATTTACAACTTGTGCTAATCATATAATTATATTTAACTTTTTTTTTAACTACAAATGCCTGTTTTGATAACATATCTTAAACAATGAATACCTGTTTAGATAACATATTTTACTGGTTACATATATTGACTGACAAATAGTGTTACTACATCGACTGATAAATAAGTAAAACATGCAAAGAGTGCTGCTACATTGACTGAGGGTATGATTTGAGAAGGCAGTCTATCAACTAAAAAAAACTATTTTTAAGTTATTAAACTATTTCTAAATTTCATTATTTTTTTTTGTATGCATATTTTAAGAGTGCTAAATGAATGATATCAGAGTTTGTTTGATGAGGTAAATGAAAAAATAACTATTAAATGTTTACTAGTAAATGTTTCATGTGTATATCATTTATCAGGGAAAAATACATCCATCAGGGTTCGGTTTAGTCTTATGTATTTTATATTATGGGGTACATGTATTTTTACTTAATAATTGATTTACGCATGAAAGTAATAAGCATGTAGTTATTTTTAGTCAAACAAACATATATATATATATATATATATATATATATATATATATATACATATATATATATATATATAAACAATATATGCTTTCTGACGATCCAGCAACGGTGAAACTTAAATATATGTATTTATATATATATATATATATATATATATATATATATATATATATATATATATATACATATATATATGTAAATATATATATATATATATATATATATATATATATATATATATATATATATATATATATATATATATATATATATATATATATAAACAATTTTAAAATGTATTCTACGAAATAGAGTGCTCAATGTTCTTAAAAAAATAGAGCAATTATAAATTAGTGTATTAAATAAAAAAAAAAATTGTTAA